CGATTCCGATCCGGATCGCCGATTCGCCGATCCGGATCGCCGATTCGCCGATCCGGATCGGTTTTTGAAAAGCCCGATCCGGGTCACTGATCCGATTTTTAAACCATTGATTATGACAATAATAAATATAGTTTCATTAATTATAATTCTGAAAATTATATAGATTTATTAAAATTAGAATTAAATATTATTATTAATATATTTAAATAATAAAAATAAAATTCTATGAATATATTGTAATTATATTTAAATTTAAGATAATAATGTAAATGGACAAACTTTCTATGCTTCCCCTACAGCATAGAATTTCTATCCTCCCCCTTATCCAACCTTCCATTCTGAATGGAGGGCTAAGATTGCCCCAATCACAATGTTTCGTCTCTACTACATTTTATTTTTAATTTTTTTCTATAAACAATTTTGATACCAAATTTTGGACGTCCATTCCTCTATTAAACTCGCACTAGCGAAAAATATATAAAAAAAATTCAATAAAATAAAATGACCTGAAAGCTTCAAGGGGTATTTTTATCATTATATTTTATCGAAAACTTATTTTTAATATTTTTTATAGCTGCACCCCAATGAGAAGATGGCACATACCAAATTTCATATTCATATAATTTGTATAAAAAAAATGAGAATAAAATACTTTGAGACATCGGATCTAAGATCAAACGGTGAGTGGCTCTCTTGATCAAAATTGGACGGCTGGATGGTAGGGAGAGGATAGAACTTCTATGCTGTAGGGAAAGCATATAAACTTTTCCCAATTTAAATTAGGGTGTGGTTTCTATAAGGTTGCAACCTTACACAATCCAATTAAGGCGCACCTTCAAAATTTATCCTAATATGTAATTTTGGTGTTGTAAAAATTCCTTATGATCGTCTTAAAATCTGTTTTCATCTCTAATTATAAAATTTTAGACTCCAAAAATGGTTAAAATCAAGTACATCTATACACATATGAAAATCTCGAAAATGGATGGACTAGATAATGTGTTGCAAGATACACTATTTTTTAGACTTAAAATCATTTTTTTTTCAATATTCATAATCTCATGTCGAGATGATCAAATATAGGGTTTTTCAACATTAAAACAAAATTTTTCGATGGATGTTTGAGGTGCATCTGTAATTCTACATTTAAGGTTGCAACCTTATATAAACTTATTTCTTTAAATTATTATCATTAAATGTTTTTACAGTAATATTAGAATCAACATTAATAACGTGATTGTAATATTGTAACAAATATTAAAACAATTATGTAAATATAATTAGAATCATAGATAAATATTATGAATATGTACATGCAATGCACTTTCTCATTGGAAAATCATGTAATTATCTAGATGATCGATTAACGCATATCAATATACTATTCCATGGCATATTTATGAAATTATTTACATAAATGCTTCAAACATATCTACATACTCTTGATTACATATTTACGTAATTATTTATATGATCGTTTATTTTATTTCTACATGCAATGAACGTGACTCCACTAGTACATATAAAATAATATACATCATTTTAAAAATCAGGTCAGATTCGGATCGGATCTGCCTGTACCCGAATCCTATCCTAAGAGTAATTCATATCTAAAATTGGGATCTAGATCCGACCCTTCATAGCCAAATCTTGGATCCGTACCAAATCCAAATAGGATATGAAATTCGAGTTTCATATAAGAAATGGGTAAATTCCTAGCCCTAGATCCTGATAGCTATAGGTGCCCACTTTCATTTTGAATTACATGAAATGGATATGAAAACAACCTTTGTCAATGGGGAACTAGAAGAAGTGATATCTATGAGACAACTCGAGGGTTTTGTAGAGAAAAGAAAGAAGAACCTAGTTTGTAAACTTCGTAAATCCCTTTATGACATCAAACGAGCATCGCAACAAAAGGACATCGAATTTTAAGAAACCTTGTCCAAGGCACAGTTTATGTCGAATGAAGAAGAGTACTACATTTATAATAAGGTAAGTAGGAAATGATGTTGAATTCATATTTCTTTATGTGGATGATATGCTTATAGTTAATTGCTCAATGGCCTTTGTGTGAGAAACAAAATAATTCCTTTCACGACACTTTGATATGAAGGACTTGGAGAAGCTTCATATGTATTGGGCATTAAGATAACAAGAACTAGAACAAACCAAACCATTCAATTTTCCAAGTCTACCTATTAGTGTACAAATCGACCGATTAGTGTATAAATTGGTTGATTTGTATAATAAATCGGCCAATTAATGCACTGTAGGTAAATTCCCCAATATTTGGCCCATAAAATCTGGCATACTCGGGCTTGGCCAGCACTCAAGTCCTAGTTAGTCGGCCAATTTTAGAAAAGTCGGCCGAATTTTCAAATAGTGATCATAACAACCTTGCATAAGGTTGGCACCTTACATAAACTTTTTCCTTATTTATTTACTTACCCATCTCTGGCAATCCGCAGTCCATGGTATTTGCCATCTATATACTATAATTGTACTATAAAATAAAGAGTACACTACATTAACGATTCGCATCGTCAAAAACGGATTGAGTCTCTTGTTTGAGATAACTATCCACCTTTCCTTAAGTTGGAAAAGTTGACTTGCGCTGACTACTCGTACTCGTCCAAACAACTCGGCCCAAGTAGGCCAACTATTGTAGCATCTAAAAATTATTAAAAAATAACAAATACAAAAATACCCAAAATAAAAAATAATATTAAAAGTCAAATTTAACAAAATATAACTAATCGTGGTTAAGAAATAGCATATATATATATATATATATATATATATATATAAAATAAAATGACTGTGGATTGGGTGCATTTTTAAAAAATGGAAAAAATTTAAAAATAAGTATTTATGGTAAAAATATTTTCCAATTGTTGTCAAAATGATAGAAAACATAAATAAACATCCTACAAATATATTTTTATTTTTTAAAAAAAATTTTAAAATTGTATTTAAGATCCTCGAATTGGACCTCTAATTGGGTACAACTCGGCTCAACAAGGGCCCTGGAGTCGGAGTAACTCGAACGGGTAGAAACCACTTGGCCGACTTTTCAAACACTGGATAGTACACTAGACTTAATCAAGCATGGGTTAGGGATCAATACTTTTGAGGAAGGAAACTAAATGTCGGGCCTGACAGCTGGTCAAAAAAGTAGTAATGGCCGGGCAGCTCAAATTTAGCTTATTTTGACTTATAATCTAGCAATGGTGGGTATTTCCATATATCTTTCATGATATTTTTCATCATTTTTATATATTTTTATTTTTATTTTATGTTTTGCACCTAGGTGAGATCCATATGTCCCGAAAATTTATGCTCATATTTATATAGAAACTAAAATTTCTGCTCATATTTATATATAAACTAAAATAAACAAGTGGCCATGCACTTCAGCCTTCCAAATCGGGGAGATCTGAGCCATCTAACCTATATTGATTCTATTGGCATTATGTTTGTGCATGTTTATAAGTTTAGAATACTAGAAGGCAAAGAGAATATCCCTCAAAAGTCTTTTTGAGGAAAGAGATCTCAATGTTTAGAAAAAAAAATATGTTGTTCAATTGAGCTGTAGAGGGTTTTGTTTCCACGATTATACAATAAATGAGAAAGCAAGATGCGAACGTCCTTATTGTTTGCATTGTCTATAATAAAAGGGAAAATTACGTAAATATCTATTTTAGTTTTCGTTATTACCAAAATATCGAATATTTTCTGTTATTATTTATGTCTATTTTTTGATTTTATAATTTTTTTTTTTAAAAAAAAAACAAAACTATCCATTTTTGATTTTTCAAAAAACCAAAAATTTTAAATTTCCGATTTTTCAAGAACCAAATTTTTTTTCTCACTCGTGAGTCCTCTGCCTATTCTCTCAACCTCTCCCTCTACATTACATACGGATTTTTTCTCTTTTGCTCTTTGCAATTTTTACTCTCTTTCCTCTCACAAGAAATCAGTGCAATTTTATTCTCTTCTCTCTCATCATCCTGCCCTTTGCCTCTGCTGCTTCCCTCTCTACTCTGAAACTTGCCTATTTTCCTCATCTCTATCCGTCTGTGGTTTCTCTCTCCTCTTGGTGTTTCTCTCTCTAAGCACTTCCACATCTTTTGACTCATTAACTTCTCTCTAACTGTGTAATTACCTATCTTCCCCTTCCTTTTAGTTTTTCTTTTTGGTTCATCATATTTGGCCATGGCTGAGGAAAGGGAAGCTTCTGCAAACTGCCGGCCTCAAACAGATCCTGAAACTGCTTGTCGAGCTTGGGGAGAAAACAGAGGCCTGATCCTGATAAAAAATCAGGAGAAATTAGTTTTTATGGCGATGTTCCAAAGGGGCATTTCCCGATTTATGTTGGACAGAAGCGCATTCGCTTTGTGGCTCCAATTTCTTGCTTAAGCGATCCTCAGTTTCAGCCCCTCTTGCAAAGAACAGAAGAAGCATTTGGATTTGACAACGGGAATCACCATTCCTTGTGAGGAAATGGCTTTGCATTATGAAGATCAAAACCTCAAATGTTGTGCCTTCCAAATGTCCGCGGAAAAACCAGATTCATTTTTTTATATTATTGTTTACTCCGATAAAGGAGACCACAGTTAAATATTCCATTTAGCAGATGATGTACGGGAGAGAGACAAAGCCAATCGGGTTCGGCCTCGTGAGAAAGGAAAGAGAGAAAAAAATTGCACAAATTTTTATTAAGAGGGAAAAGGGAGAAAAAATCGCGTAGACCGAAAGTTTAGGTAGTGAAACAAAATTTTTTTTCTTGAAGAACCGCAGTTTTTTGAAAAACCAAAATTGGCCTGATTTCGGTAAACCGAAGATGGATAGTTTCATCCTTTTTAAAAAAATTGGTATGAAGTCCAAAAAATAGACATCAATAATAATGGAAAGTATTCGGCATTTTGGTAATAATAAAAATTAAAACAAATATTTATGTAATTTTCCCATAATAAAAATCTTCACTCGCTAAAGACTTGCTTCATAAGTTACTTTTCTTTTTCCTTTTCAAGATCATCATGAGCATTACATGTTACTCAGCTCCTTAATTATTTCGTAGATTGAAGTAAGGGAATAAGGGAAACTAAGCTTCTTGCATGTATTGAAATGCATAAATAAATTCACAGGACATATCAGAGTACATTCCAAACTCGTATCAGCTTTCAATTACTTCTGATTGCTCTCCTGGATTGAGAATACATGAGATCTGCAATTGCCAAGGTGAAAACATAAAACGTTCATTCAAATTTCAGAAGAGAACCAATTTTAGAAGAAAGATGATCAACTTGTAAACCAAAAATCTCTATTCAACCAGCAAGTGCTTTCACCTTATCACTAAACTCCCTAAACGCCGGATCACGCAAAGCTTTATCAAGTTCCTGATGCAAAGAAAACAGTTGTGAACTTAACAATCTGCTTAAAAACTACAAATAATTTAAGGATAAATAAGAGATTACATGAACATCCCAATACGAATGAAGCAGAGAAAAACCGAATGAAAGAATTAGAAGAAAAATTACATCCTCTGCATTTGTTGAAGAGTTTATATTCGATATGATCCTACAAAGTTCATCATTCTTCAAGGTGTTTCTGATTTCATAAGAACTAGCTGCAAAAGAAAATAAGAGATCATTACAATTTCATGTAATTTAGCATCAAACTAATTACTGAATTTGGACAAGCCAATAGGTGAAGTAATGCATTTCTAGGCAACTATATCATTTATACAAATTCTCGCATGAACAAGCTGTAGATTCAAAGACCCAACACTAAGTATGATAAAAATCCATCAAAACAAAAGAATGGATAAAAAAGTGCACCTATTGACTCGAACTGATCCTTTTGAAGCACCCAACTTTCTTCATCTACTCGGATTGATCTTGCAGATAGTAAATGGGTTTCTGCATTGTTCTCTACAAATGCATTAGTATAAAGAAAAATATAAGATTCAGGTGCTGTGAAAACTTGACACAATTTAGTTAGCATGCTAGCTGATATTGTTAGCAACCTCTGACATATGTTGCGAGGCATATACTTCAACTACTTATCCCAACATTATTGCACACATGAATGTTAACCATGAAACATCCATAAAAGAAGAAATGTGTTAATTAAAACAAAATCTACTGTCGATGAATTAAAAGTTTAATATTATCGAATTACATTTGAGGAATTGTCCTGCCGGACAAAGTTCAGCAAATATGAAGGACAATAACACACCATAGAGAGAAAATAAACCAATATGATGCAAGTGAACTTGTGCAGCAAGTTTTAGGAAACAATTACTGGGCTTTAGACACATTTTTGGCCAACCTTGCTGGGCAAAACCAGAGAAGCTGGTTTTGATGTTATGGAGTTCAGATAATTATTCTCTAAAATGGGTTCATACTAGCCATCTGATATAGGAACAAAAAAGTCACGGCTTCTGGAAGTAGGGTTTCAACTCAGAGACAAAAACTTTTTTATTAAGGGAAAAGTTGTCTATTTGCAATTAGAAGTCTACTATGATTAGAATTCCTCTATTTTCAATGAAATTTACAGATTTTCTTTTTAGTTCCTCTTTTGTTTGTTTGGATTTGTACATCTGGTATCAAAGCCGGTTGACTCCCAAAGCGCCTTAGACAAATGCCAGTTCCCTCTTTTGTTTGTTTGGATTTTGTACCATCTGGTATCAAAGCCGGTTGACTCCCAAAGCGCATTAGACAAATGCAAGTTTGTACAATGGCAGCCAGAAGAGGACGAGGAGGCCATGCCCGAGGTGGAGGATCCAGACCTACCCAGGAAGAATATCAGGAGATTCAAGGAATTGGTGCAGAAGGTGCACCAAACCCACTCTAAAGGAGACACAGTTGTTCATTACGCTGATGGATCCAATTTTGAGGAGAACCCTATTTATAACTAGGGGAGAGAAAATAATGCATTAGAAGAATGGTCAGGCCAACAAGCTAGAATTTTCAGGTTGGTTGCAACCCATTTTCTAGATTGGATTGCTAGTGGGGAGACCTTCGAGTGGAAAGAATAATCAAAAGAGAAGAAGGTTAAATTTGTGCCTGGTTGAAGGGTCATGTCATAATATAGTGGCAAGCGTTGCAAGCAAGTCAGAATTGAAAAGGGATGGACTAGATTGCAACTTAGCGGAAGATGAGGTCGTGGTTGAAGGGATGTTATTCCATTTGATTTTGTGTAGGATTGTATCAAAAAGTTTTATCACCTGAAACAAAAAAAGTTCATTATGCAGGAGTATACAGACAAGTTTTACTTGTTGATGAACCATAACATGATCCACAAGAGTGATGGTCCGTACGTTGCACGTTATTTGAGTAGCATGGAAACTTAACTCCAGGATGAGCTGATTTCGCACCAAACTCTCTGCCATGAGAAAGCCTATCAATTAGCCTTAAAAGCTGAAACAAAATTTAATAGGAGTATTAATCACATCCATCGTCAGGTCTTCAAAGGACATAAGCTGTAAATAATAAACAGGGAGATGTGGATGGCTCAAGCTCTCAACCCAGTGATACATCTATGGCAGGAAAAGACCCAACATGAACAGGCCACATCAAATCCAATAACAGGGTCTAAGTGCTTCAAGTGTGGCGAGCTTGCGCATCAATCTTTTGAGTGCCCAAGCAAGAGCACATCTTTAGGAGGGGGATGAGATTATGAAGGAGATATTGAGGCGGGGCCTATCTATAATGAGGAGACTGATGAAGCACTTGAAGGAGGTGTAGCTGATTTACACCCCGATGAAGGTGAATTCCTTGTGATCAGGAAGCGATTATCAACTCGAAGGGTGGTGATGAACCGTAGCTTAGAACCAATATTTTCTGCGCTGGATGTACATTCTAGATTGCATTATTATGAACAACAGGACGTGTGGCAACATTATAATGCAACAAACAGTGGACAAGCTGAATTTGAAGTGTGACAAGCATCTTCAACCATACAAGATCTCCTGGTTCAAATAAGGTAATGAAAACCTTTAATAATCACCATTGCTCAGTTAATAATCCTATTGCAAAAATATATGAGAAGTTTGTTTGGTGTGATGTGTTACATATGGATGCATTTCATATGCCATTGGCTCACCCATCGCATTATGATTTTTTTATTTTTTTTTATTTTTTGATGAAGTTAACTGTTTTATCAAAAAACTGTTGTATTAAAAGAAAAGAATAGTAAACAATTGAGTCTCCGAGGAGTGGAGACTATATAGAGTCAAAAAATGGCAGCCCACTGAGTAGGAGCACCATACAAAGGCTTCCAATGCTCTAAAGACAACAACGCAGAGGGACGAAGTGCCAAAGACTGCTCAAAAATATTGACTGAGCTTGAAAAAAATTCTCAGTCACTGACGTTTATAGCACCCGCATTTGCAAGAGTATCAGCATACGAGTTACTTTCTCGCCATGCGTGCCTCTATGCGATAGTGATGCCCCTACTCAAGTGGGTAATATCTTCAAAGATCAAGACCAGAGGCTAGGGACAAGATGCCGAGTCCGAGGCTCTAGTAAGGAGGTTGCTAGTCACCTTCTGCTATCAGTCCTGAGCCCCATGAGGGATCCAAACGTTTAAGGCCTTCAAGAAGGGCATGGGCCTTGCAGTTTGGAAATCTGAGTGGCCGATGTGTTCTAGAGAAGAAGGCTTGGATGGGGCCGTCATGATTCCTGAATAGGCCACCTATGCGGGCAGGACTGGGGTTGCTTAGGGAGCAACCATCAAAGTTCAATTTGACCAATCCAGGTTCAAGTGGACGCCACAGCGAAGCACAGGGAATTTGATGCCAACTAAGATAAAGCATGCCCACCCAATCCATGAGGAAGGCCAAGGGGGGAAAACCCTTAAAGGTCTTGTGATTCGAAGCCCAAACGATCATAGCCGACTTGATTTTCTTGAATAAGGCTGGTGCGGAGAAACTCTCTCCACGGCAATGTTGAAAAAGGCGGATTCAGCTGCCGGGCTGGTGCCTAGATACCTCAGTGGCCATAGACTATTGGGTTTTTTGGGAGGGGGGCAGGGGCGATTGCGTGAGGGGCAATGGTTGGGTGCTGCTTTTTATAAGGAGAGAGAGAGAGAGAGAGAGAGCATAGGGTGAATGTGTGTGTAAGAGCACATCGAACACCTGGTGTCACCTTCTTTTGTTTTTCTTTTTTTTCCCCCTCCAATGTAGGGAGAGATTTAGGTGGGTTGGGCAGGTGCAGCGTAGATCTTGTATGACATCGGCTAGGAGGAGCTATTCTGTTCAAGTGGAAAGGCTCTAGAATGGGAAGGGTAAGGCCCAAAAGGACATGGATGAAAATAGTAAGAAGATATATGGTGACTTAGGGTCTTACTAAAGGATATGACCCTTGATAGAGCGGAGTAGCGGAACAAGATTTATGTATCCGACCCCAAATAGTTTGGATATCGAATGACAGTGATGATGATGATGTTGAGAGAGAGAGAGTATATGGTTCCGTGTGTATGAGAGAGAGAGAGTGATAGCATATGGTTCCTTGTGTATGAGAGAGAGAGAGAGAGAGAGAGATTCGCATAGAACATGTGGAGGTCGCCTTCTTCTATTTTTTCTTCTTCTGATATGTACAGAGAAAGAAGCATGCGGGTCGAAGAGACAGAGGGGCCTGAGACCTTGGAGGACGTGTTCTTTTTATATGTAGATGAGCATATGGGTCTATTCATGTGTGTGTGTGCGTGAGCGAGAGACAGGCCTCGCATCAAACCCTTGGAGGTTTTCTTCATCTTCTTCTTCTTGTACGTAGAGAGAGATCATATGGGTATATGTATGTGTGTGAGAGAGAGAGATAGAGGCCTCGCATTGAACACTTGAAGGTTGTCGTATTCTTTTTCTTCGTCTGAGTAGATAGATGAAGAGCATATGCCATATACTTGTGTGTGTGTGTGAGAGAGAGAGAGGTGCCTCGCATCGTATGCTTGGAGCCTTAGCTGAGGGCCTTTTTTTCAGCCAAGGGCTCCATAGCACTGCCTAGTTGCGCACCCCAATGCTAAACTGAATAGGGCCACACCAAGCCCTATTCAATTTGGAAAGCCCCCTAGACCACCTAGGCGGCACACCTAGGTGCCTAGTAGGGAAAATTTTCATTCAAAGGCTATACACTATGGAAAACACAATATATATACTTTGTGGAAGAATGGGGTTAAGATTACATTCCAATCGTTTATGAAGGACAATCAACCAAAACCCAAGAAAGGGAAAGGAGAGATTATGCGCTCTTTAAATTGGTTTCTTGAGGAGAGCCAAGAGCAGGGAATTATGTGCGTATTGGTAGCAAAAGGTGATTCTTTTCTTAATTCTATTCATATGTTATTACAACATTAGCTACGGTAGCTAATAAAAGTATGGATTTTATGCCCGAAGAATTGTGTGAAGGTTTACCCCCAGTCTCTCATTTAGCCCCTGTTAGAGACATTCAGCATTGTATTGATTTAATCCCTAGTGCTACTCTGCTTAACCTGCCCCATTATACATGAGTCCAAAAGAACATGAGGAATTGCGTAAGTAGGTAACTAAATAATTGATTATGAGGTTATTCGAGAGAGTTTGAATTCCCGTTCTATCCCTACCTCATTGAAACCTAAGAAAGACATTTCTTGGCACATTCGTATACATAGTAGGGCCATCAATAAGATTAAAGTACTGTTCTCCTATTCCTCCTTTTAATGAACTGCTAAATATGTAAGAAAGGTCTAAAGTTTCAAGAATTGACTTAAACAGTGGGTACCGTCAAACTCAAATTCACCTTGGAGATGAGTGGAAAATGGCCTTTAAGACTCAGAATTTGTATGGAGTGCCTTGTCATGCTGTTGGGTTGTCTAATACCAATACTTCATGCAAGTAATGAACCAAGTGCATCGCCCTTCTTTGCCAAATTCCTGTGTCCTTTGATGATATTATTATTTAAAGCTCGAACGATGATTAGCACTTGGATCATCTAAGACAAGTTTCGAGGCACTTCACAGGAAGAAGAAATTCATAAATTTAAAATACTCTATTATAACAGAGAGCTTGATGTTTTTAAGATATGTTGTTTCCATTGAAGGGGTTAAGGTCAATCAAGCTAAGGTGCACGTAATGGACAGGCCTACACCAAAAATTGTTGGGGAGATGAGAAGTTTTATGGTTTGACTACTTTTTACAGGCCCTTATCAGGAATTTCAATACTATTATTACTCCGAAAACTAATTGCATGAAGAACGGACTTTTAAGTAGACACTACAGAGAGCTTCAAGCTTCTTAAGAAGATGAATAGTGCCTTATATTGGCGCTCCCAGATTTTAAGAAGATTTTTCAGGTGGAGTGTAATGCTTCATATGTGAATACTAGGGCGTAACCAAGAAGGCAAGCCTGTGGCATTCTTCAGTGAGAAATTGAATGAATCCAAGGCTTGGTATTCTACTTATAATGTAGAACTCCATGCTATTGTATTGGCCTTAAATCATTGACGCTCTTATCTTATATAGAGCAAGTTAATTTTGTTGTCTGACCATGGCGATGAAATTTTTGAATGCCCAGAAAAGATTGAACTGGTGCCATGCCAAGAATTGCAATTTTTTTCAGTTCTCTTTTCTTTGTTTGAATTTGCATCACAAAATTACCCATCTAGAGATTAAATAAAAGAATGCAACAAAAAGGACAAGAAATGGCACCATCTGAAAGAATAGAAGCACCTATCTAAGAACCAACATTTAATCCATAGTTACCAGGATCTGCCATCTTGGTGGTGATCCCACTCACCTGGAGCTGGACCTTGAGCGAATCGCCCTCCCATATAGGGAGAACAGGTCCCAATCCCTTATGGATTTGTCGATATAAATTACACTCATGTTAGATTGATCTTTTGTAAGGAAACAAGTCTTAAATGCATGTTCATTAAAAAAAGAGAGTAATTATGTAGCAAAATCATCATCCCAACATGGGAGCTTCTAGCCAACAAACAAACTCTTCCGATCCCACTCCGGCTCCTAATCCCAACAACTATGAATTGATCTAATGAGCATGGATCATGCAGGGATAGAGAACTTATCACATTCTCTAGTCATGGCCACAAGGAAAGTGGATATATCCTGCCAAGCAATAAACACAGGAAAGAAAACATGGAACATCCGTCTCCCAAACGAAGAAACGGACTCAAAATGCAGGACTACAACAACACCATGACAGCCCGCTCCGGCTCCTAATCCCAACAGCTATGAATTGATCTATGAGAATGGATCATGTAGGGATAGAGAACTTATCACATTCTCTAGTCAAGGCCACAAGGAAAGTGGATATAGCCTGCCAAGCAATAAACACAGGAGAGAAAGCATGGAATATCTGTCTCCCAAACGAAGAAACAGACTCACAATGCAGGACTACAGCAACAACATTGTCATGGCCATACAATAGCCTCAACGAATTCCATGATTACATAGTAAGGATGATGTGAGCCTTCTCAATGAAAATGTGAAATGCACACCATTCTTAGCTTCCACATTGAATTTACTGTTCATGCTTCTTGCTTCTTGACATATTGAGAGATGAGAAATGTATCCAACAAAATACATATTTGGATCGAGGACCAATGTGGCAGTCTAAACATCCGACAAGACTGACTATAATAAGTATGCAACAAGAGGGTAATCATTGAAATTAAAGTCAAGACATATAGTAAAAGAGGATTTTTATCTTAGTTATGATGATTGAGCTAACATTGAATGTCATTGGGATATCAAGTTGGATATATTTAAAAATGCTGGAGGAAATGCCAATGAGAACTTTAGAATACATGATGTAAATGTAAAGCTGAATATAGATAATAATTTACTTGCTCAGGGTCAACATACTATCATTGTAGCCCACTGATAAGTTCTTATGACTCTGCAAGTTGTGAGGCTAATAACCATCTCGTGTCATCATCACGAATTAACTATCAGCTTCGTACAATCTAACGATATCATTGAATGCTATTTGAAATTTACTTCTTGAAGAATATTACAAGCATATATCAGCCTCTGAATGAATTAAATAATCATAGGCAACAAAACTCGTGAATGAGAAAGTTGGAACACTGCATCAAAATTTTACATATGCTTTATGCTTTTAGACTATGAAAGGTGATGTTGCATCAAATGGAAGAAAGCAAAGTACTCACTCTCATAGATATAAAGAAAGTAGTATTCTCAAGTAATCAATAGAAAGTGAATAATGAATTAAAATAAACCTCTGCACAAAAGTATTACTTCAGACAAGAACAGCATAACAAGTCTATGAATTAATAACACAATGAACCCTCTTAAGTAAAACAGGTAGCTATTTGAAAGGGGTAGACAGAGAGACAGGGAGGAATCAGTGTACCCTACTGGCATCAATTGAGAAAATGCACAATTATTACACTGAAGTGAAGTGAAGGAACAACATCTTTTTATAGCAGTTCGACTCCATAAGTGGATGTCCTATCAACAATCCCATTGTGGTTCTTGTTGGCAAATTGCTGATTTTCCCTGCATGCTTCGAGTGTCTAAGCTACCACAAATGGCATCTTCTATTATTTTGCAAGTTGATAATGAGAGTCAAACCAGGCCAGAGAGCCATTCGTTCTGTCTCAAAAGGTTGTTCACATACTTGTCAACAGTGACCATTAGATATCCAGGCTGATCTTGAAAATATCGTAAATTAAGGACTATGATGCAGAAATAACTGTAGTATCTCATGTATAGAACACTCTCATAGAATGCAATCAAATACAGTATATTCGCATAAAGAATTTATGTAGGGAGGTAATAGAAACCAAAATCAATGACTACTGACTAGGAAATAACTAAAAGGATATACCTTCCGTTGCCAAAAAAAAATACAAGGTGTCCATGGCCTTAGAGGTTACTCCAATGTATGTATATACTGACAAGCTATGACATTTGACATTCAAACTGCAGCTAAGCATTTGAAATTTTTGATGGGTAATTTACAGCCAAGCATATGAAAGTAGGTTGTACAAATAAATAAAGCAAAGTTCATGACTGCGCCAGTTGGAGACTGTGCACACATTTTAATATATCATGGAATGAACTGAAGTTTCCTCACCAAACAGTCACTAACATACCAATCAATATTTGCATTTTAAGATAGCTAGAATTTACAGTGAAGTATTTTGACATCCTCAATAAAGGAAAGCTGAATAGGAGGATTACGGTAAACTTGAGCATACTCTACAGTAAAAACCAACAACATTCCAAAGAAGTAAGCAAAAGCAAGGAACTTACCAGGTTTTTGCTCTGGAAGATCTGGTTTTGTACAAGGAACTTCTGCAAAAGTAATATAACATTATAAAAACATTTTAGTTGCAAATACAAGAATCCACAAGGAAAACATCAAGATAATTTAACACAACAGAACAAGGTAAAGCTTAAGAACTCCGAATCTAATTTGGTCCTTGGAATTCCAGTTTTTATGAGGATCGACTCACAAAGAATCATAATGATATTTATACTTTATATACATCTAAAGAAGAAGATGCACAGCAGACATAATTGATGAACAAATCATGAATTTCCACAAGAAAAATTTAAAGGCTACGTGAGAAATAGGATCTAAGGCAAATGTGCGTGAAAGAAAATAACACATAGTTCACTATGTGCTTGGATGGAATTACAACTTCACCATAGAAATGTAACTAAAAGAAACTTAATATTCAATTAATATAGAAAATGATAAGAAGATTGTTCAGATATCTTAATGAATTGGGTTTACATAAGGTCAGATAGTTGAGAATTACAAACATTATGCTTACATATGAGAAAGATGCAGTCTCAAGCATCTGGAAAGCATGAATTTGTAAAGTGTACATGTTTTCTTTGCGCATGACATACCTCTGAAGCCTTTCAGTCTTTCTATATATGTTTTCAAGCACTGGGTTCGATTTATCTAGTGCACCTATGACACTTGAGTGCAGACCTGTTTTGACACATAACCATAACCATAAACTTTAAACACCGCAGAAAAAGGATCTCAGTCATCTGAGAAATGCAAGGTCTCCCAAGGTATTGAGATAAATGGTTTTGACAGGAAAATACATGCTGGAAAGTTTGAAGCTACAGTACAATAACAAAATCCTAATGATCTGAAATTCAAAGCAGGGTTTGCAGATAACAAGTATGCCTTAGTTGTTGAACTCAATGGAGCCACACATAAACAAGAATCAGTTATGCTTTCCACGACAAGAGAAATTTCGAGGCATATCAGTGAGTTATAATCTGAGAAGTATTATGCTCCTTTCTATAGAGCAGAAAAGGGAAAGAAGTCATGCATCAAGTCTCAGTCTCATTGAGATGGGGCCTTGGTAGAGCCTGTGGCCATTGACTATCCATTACCAGACCATACATGCTGCATGCTTACCATAACAGGTTTGCAAATAACAATGTCGGTTCACTCAAGATCGGCTGGGATCCTCCACCATATAATGCCCCAATAGCATGCAATCGGGGTAGCAAGTTCAACGAGCTACACAACAATATCTAGTTTACTTAAAAAATAGTACGGTATGGGGTTATAAGCTATCCACCCACTTACAATGCATATACTTCCTTTTTCTACTTCTTTTGTTTGTGTGCCCCCTACATCTTGGATTATGAACTCCAAGGTGTTATTCTGATCATATGACAGGCAGTTCTGTTAGCCTATTCTCTTTCAAATTGTACCTAGGTAAAAAATTTCAATACCCTTATTGATAGGTCTACCTCCCCAGATCTTGGAGTAGGATGTAGGAGCCATCATGACGTATCTCCCTTTCTTTTGTTTTAGGCACCTCGTATTTTCTTTCAAAACTTTTATCTGTCAGAAAAAGCGATATCACCAAAAATCATTAAGATTATTTCCCACATTTAGGTTCCAACACAGGTTGGCCTTCTTCCTCTTATGCTTTTCCTATTGAAAATGAAAGAAAGGATTTGCTCACCTAAGTTGACATTTTGTCTCCGATCGTGCTCTTGCTAACCTTATGCAATATTAAAGTGGAAGAAAGCTAAAGATATGAAGCAACAACCATTGAAAGAAACTAAGCTTCAGATCTGCTTGTATTTCTCAAATAGAAGAAGAGTGCACAATGTTCTGGAGTCCACCAAATGAAGTTCAACCTTCATAGGATCATTCAGTGATACAATGTGTCTAACCACTACGAGATTGAACTAAACCAAAGACTTTTGACTACAAATGTACAAAACAATCTTCACACTGTTAACTGAAACAAGAACCATAAGATTTGATGTGAAGAATGCATTCTTTCAAACAAATCTTTAAGGTTAAGTGTAAATGGTTCCTCTAGGTTCTTTTGGGAAATAAACTTGGCGACAGTGTTTGTAAAATTAAAAAGGGCAACTACGGACTGCAACAAACTTCCTGAGCTAACGAAAATTGTACCAATATTGTGATATCTATTGGCTTCAAGAGCAGCATTGCCAATCACTCTGTGCCCGCCAAATTTCATGAGGGAACATAGTTCTCCTAGCATGTCTCAATGGTTGTGAGACTACAGGAGATGATACTAAATGTGCAAAGGACTTAAATATTACCTCAAATCAAGTATAGAATTTTAACATCAAGTATATTGACTAGCATATTTCACTAGCATAGAGGAAGTTGTATTTCAGTAGCATAGAGGTAATGAGGTCTAATAAGGGGAATTTGAAGTCCCAGGACGTTATGGATTTGCCAAAGAAACAAGTTAAATGGAAGAAAGACCTGCTATGTCACCAATCAAAACAAAATTTCATCAAAAGTTATATGCAGGTGGCCTCTAAAAGACATCAGCATGCATCAAATGCTGTTTGCGAAGCTTATTCACGATGCTATCACTCAATTGGACTTGTATTAAAATGTTACCAGCCAACTTGTACAAGCACCATTAAGTTAAGCAGTTTCAAAAACATAATTTGTACACACACCATTCAATCAAAATGAAGAAATTATGTGATGCCTGATGGCTTCAACAGAGTGAGAGGATTTTTCATGTTGACGGAATAATCTATTCTTTAAAGCATAAATTAAGCAATGATGTCAAGGCATTACTTCAAGACACTGAGATTCTTAGCAACTCAGCATTTACTTAATAAGGCTACACGTGAAAACTGAACAGCCATCCATATATCTTCTACTTCTGACTCCACGAACAGACAAAACACATTGGAATGTGGCTTACAAAAAGGGAAAGGATGCAGCCAAGGTTATAAAGACCCATTTATGAAGAAGGATGAACAACATGCATGTATGTATATGAAGGCCATTGGTGAGAGTATATTGAATATATTGTAGTCAATTTGGGTATAGCTTGAACTCATGACCAATTTGAGGAGGAATGCTCAATATGTATCAGCAATAGTATGGTAATTATCTTATCTAACGAATCGGGCTTGGGTTAAGACGATAGCAGCTGGGTTTTCATAGTGCTACGTCTCAATATCCATTCCTATGTAACCATATCCAAAAAAAAAAAGTATTGTAACTATCTTATTTATTTGTGTTTCATTCATTGTAACATGTGTTCTTTGCGTACTTGAGTATTAGTGAACCATATCAAGTGCAAGATCTTTAATTGTATAGAAAATATTGTATATGTCATAAGTTAATACTGAGAGCACATTCTGCATATCACCCCAACAACTCTGTACATCTTCAATAGTTTCCAAATTTTCCCAAATAAACACATACACACATGTGGATGTCTATATGCAGGATAGAGCAGTGTTTTGAAACTCATCGAGCCCGACTTGAACTTGGATGAGTCAGACCCAATGGGGTGCAGGATCCAAGTGAAAAACCTTGGAAACCAACCAGGTTTCACCGACTGTGAATGCTTTTCTTGTTAAATTTTTCAACACAGCCAAGTCCAATTCGGACTCCACTTACACTCTGCTGAGTCGAACTTAGTGACTAGGGCCCCAGACACTGGCAAGTCCCAACCAGAGTTTAGGGTTTAAAAAACTGGTAGACAATGCATATCTATGTAGGGTGGTAGTACGTGTATAGAGAGAGACAGCACACATAAAATAACATATTTACCTCTGTGATTCTTGAAACATGCCAAAGAGCAGCTGCACATGAAACCCTTGGGTAAGTTAGATAACTTGCTTTTGCCAAAATATTCCAGAACATGATAAAAACTCTTTACAAACTGAATTTCTAAACCAATGTGAGCTGCAAGCATGAAGAACCTAAAAACAAAAAGAAATTCCCAAGTTACAGTAACACATCAAAGCTACAAATAATAATCACTTCTAAAACCTACTTACCAGTCCCCACTCAAGAGAGTGAACACCAAACAGCGGCAAGAATCAGATTGATACAAGAATGTTAGCCAACGGTAACCTCAGATTCATGTGGCTATCATCTAAGAGAATGTGAATTAAATCTACTACACAGCAAATTCAGGCCTTTTTCTCAGCAAAATAATCAAACAAGGAAAACAATTCCCTCTCATAGTTCATATGCATTTAGTTGTAAATTACAAACAAACAGCATTCAGTTCTGTGTTTATGTGATGGAGAGAGAAGAATGGTCCTCTCCATAAATCGCATATAAAGATCTGTATTCTCAAATTTTGGCCCCAAAAAAGAAACCTTGCATCAGCTTAAGAGAGAGAAGATGAAATGCTTACTACGGCATGAAGCAGGTGGGACACTTGTATTTGGATTGCGCTTCAACGCAAACACCACAACTAGGCCGACCCATTGGCTCAAAATAGAACAAGACGGGATACAATTTGAAGAATATGGTGAACTTGGGTTGAGCTTCAATGGCGTCAAGTCCTTTGGATGGCAGTGAATAAAAAACTAGTTCAGCAATGACAGACGCTGCTCGTCATCTATGGAGCAATAATGAAAACCTGATTTAACATAAAACATCTCCAAGTTTAGAGCAGAAGATTTATTGATATAATATTCCGAGTCAAACTGATTCCAGGTTCCAACATTCTTTTCTTCTTATGCTAAGATGCAGAGAAAGCTTCGAAAACCTTGGAAAACATGGAATATAGTCGAATTGGGAGGAACACAAGGAATTTAGCGCGCTTGCACTGTGCTCCTCCGAGAGCAAAACTCATGGCTAAGCGGACGGGTGGTGCCTCACTTTGGAGACTTCCTTTTATGTGCTTGTTGCTTTGGAATACATTTATACCGAAAGCAGCACATCAATATTTGGAAAACATAAAAGGGCAAAGTTTATATAGAGCCGAGGCTCTAAACAATCAAATTCGAGCTTACCTCAAAATTGATCATTTTGATATTAAGATGCAATATAAGAAAAAAAAAAGTAGATTTCAAGTTTTGAAAATAGTGTATTTGTAATACATTTTTGGACCGTCAATTTTCAAGATTCTTAAGTTTTCATAAATCTGTCGATCTACACTATTTTTTAAGCTTTAAACTTTATAAATAATGATGAAAATATATTTTAAGGCTATCTCAAAGATTTCTAGCGTTGAAACCACATTTCTCGATATTATTTGAAGGTAGGCTCTAATTAGATTGTTTAGATCCTAGGCTCTATAGAAACCGCACCCAAACATAAAATATGGATTTTTTTCGAGAAAATTTTAAAAAATATACTTTAGTTTTTGCATTATTGAAAATAAACTTCAAACTTTGTAAAACCTTATCCATACTCCTTTTCTGGGTGGCTTGACAAAAATAGCCTTCACCAGTCTTAAAACCGTGAAAGCATCAAGGTCGATTGAAAACTGTGACGGTCATGGCAGGTTGTAAGTGAAATTGTGGTTTTGAAGTATCATGACACTTAAAAAACCGTAGCGGTTTATTGGACTATCATAGTTTTAATTTAATCGTTGTACTCTTACCTAAGCATCACGGCCATAAAATAACTGTGATGATCTTTCAACCACTCTCGCCTTCCCGCCCTTTTCTCCTTCCCAAAACTCATTTGTCATCTCCCATCCGTCACTCCCTCTCTCTAATAGTAGTATCTCCACCTCTCTACCTTAACCCCTATCTCTCTCTCTCTCATCTATTTGCCATCATTTTCTTCTATTTTTCAATCTTTCAACACGGTTCCTTATAGCTATTTTCCAACCTGTTAGTGTCAAATATATACACCAACACCATTTTACTGGTATATCCTCAAAATCTTCAAGCTTTTATATATATTTCCCTGAATGTGCGATGACAACATTTTGTATTTTCATCTTATCAGGGTTGGCCATTGGATTTTTTTTTTGTTTAACAAATTATGTAAATAAGTTTTAAATATGTATTTCTATTGTGGTATATGTATTGCCATGTAATGTCCCTATGTAATGCTTCCTCATTATTATGTATAGATTTTTTCGAACCTTTATACCTACATTGCAATCATCTAATGTGTTATTTATCCCAAATATTTTCATTTCGTATTTGCTTCCATCAGAAATTGGATATCTCATAATTTATTGGGCTTGCACACTCCAATATTGGGTGATGATATAGTGAAAAACGCTTTAAACTCTGGTTCTTTCAAGAGGACTAATGATGGGTGTCTTTTCTATGATGGTGGGGACCTGAAGGATACATTTTTTCTACAAACCGGTTCCTTCGACTAACTAAAGGCTCACTTGTCAAAAGTAAAACATTGGGCCCCAAGTATTATGAATATAAGGTATAGTGGCCCAGAGTTACCAAGTAACGTGAATACGGTATGTGTCAGCGATGATGACAACACTGCAAATATGCCAGAAGGGCCTCCCCCAATTGTTACATACTTATCAAAAAAACCTATTAAGTTAGAGTCCACGGAATATCGACCACCAACATTGCTCGAGAATGGTCCATCAAGAGTGGCCATGTGATGACCCAAACTTTTCCCTGTCAGTTAGAAGGCATGGCGGGAGAGGGAGGCTGAAGAAGTGCCAGCACCGAGTGAGATGGAGAAGAGGCCAGCACCGGTTGGAAGAGCCAGCGTCGGGCGGATTTGTGTGAAGAGGTCAGCGCCGGGTGAGTTGGAGAAGGGGCCAGTGCAGGTTGGCAGAGCCAGCGCCGGTTGGAAGTGTCAGCGCCGAGTGAGTTGGAGAAGAGGCCAGCGCCTGTTGGAAGAGTCAGCACCAGGTGGATTTGTGTAAAGATGCCAGTGCCGGTTGGAAGAGTCAACGCCGAGTGAAGAGCCAGCGCCAGGTGGATTTGTGTGCAGCACCGGTAGTGCCTCTGACATGCATGAGTTATGTATGCCACTTGTTATATACATGTTGATTGAATGCCACATGTCCAGATTTTACAATGTTTTTGTGACACTTGGCCAGCCACCTCAACCCAAGAGTACTTAAGCCTCCTTCCTCACCTGTGCCACTCATTCTTACTTCATTTCTCTCTCTCTCTCTAAGGCACAAGGTGGGAAGAAGTGACTATTGGTGGGCAGCCACTATTGGGTGGGTGAGAGCTGTGAATAGAAGAGTGAAGAAGACATCATTGTTGTCTAGGTAAGTGGATCTATCACTACTGCATGATAGTCGTAAGGATGCATGGAATTTATGCATGTAAAATAAGAATGAAAGTGTATGTGAAATGGTGAATGTTGGGGTTCTTGTTATATGATAATGGTGAATGTCAAGAATGAATGCATGATTCTTAGATTATATAAGAAATGCATGCTCTGTATGATTATGTGTGCGTTCACATTGTGGGAGAATGGTTGTTATCATGTGTCTCACCATGAAATGAAGATCATGGAATGTATGCTTGAGACATGTTGTATGCCACTATGAAATTCCAGAAGTTTGCATGTTCTTATAAGAGGCTTTTGAATAGTCAAATAGGGTCCGATTGACCTCAAACTACCCCCATTAGAAAGATATATGAGACTAGTAAAATGTTTGTTTTTACCCATTTCTGAAAGTTTTACAAAAATGAAGTTATATTTCAAAATGGGAAGGTATATCATTGTTGACTGTTTCTTGGATTTTTCATTTATACCATTGTGGTCATTGATTTTAGCTAGCCAAACGAAGTTCATTTTCGGCCAAACTACAGCCATTTGAAAGACCTTTGAATGGCTAAAATTTGCATGTGGAACTATCTTGAAAAGCATCCTAGATTGAAAGTTATACTTTGCTTTATGAAGGTATGTTACTGTGGGCAGTATTGATGAAAATTAGAACTCACCTTGTTTGCCATGAATTTTTGAACTATCAAATGGAATCCAAATGCTTTCAAATTTATTTTGTTAGAAAGATATATGTCTTGGCTTGAACTTTTATTTTGTATCCGTCATAGGTTGCCTTACGGTTTGAATGTTATAATGATTTGAAGCAGGGTACATTGTTGTCCACTGTACACAGTAGGTGACAGTTAGTTAACCTCATTTCCTTGAACCTTTAAGAGGTCAAATAGAATTCTGAAGTCTTTAAACCACTCCCAAGTGAGGGATAGGTGTTTGGTACGAAATTTATTTTGGAATCATCTTCAAACTCTAAATGGTCCAAAAGTTAGGACCTCAATTGTGAGCGCACATACGCATGCATGATAATGAAGTTATGCTTTGCTATGACATGGAAGCATGATCATGATGAATGCACTATTGCGATATGAATTGCATGATTTTAATGATTCTTATGCTATATGTGAATGGATACATATTGTGTGAATGATGGTATCATAATGCTTATACTATATGTGAATGGATACGTACTGTGTGAATGATGGTATTATAATATTATGCTATATGTGAATGGATACCTACTGTGTGAATTATGGTATCATGATACTTATACTATATGTGAATGGGTACCTACTATGTGATTGATGGTACTGGCCGCTGCAATTTTTTTCAAACTCCTCATGATAAGACGGGACTCGAGATGGAAGTAGTTGGGTGGGTCGCACCCCTCAGATCTATGTGGGCACTACACATTGGATCACCTAATGGTAGTGTAACGCCCTCTCGCCAGAAGGGCACAAGGAGAGGATATTGTCTTGCAAGACCTTTGCCTATCAAAAACCTCAAAGCGCGTTGGGGATGTGTGTGCATGTGAGGGCCTTACGATGTGGGTCTTCCACTTGTCCTGGTCCACCCTTCTGAGTGAGAGTAGAAGTTCCAAGTTTAGGATTGGCTTAGGCTGACCGATGTGGCTTCTACTTTAGATAGATTTCTTTGCTTGACTTATATTACACTTTTTGCATGAGCTTCTAACTGTAGCTGTGATGTGCTGCCTTTATTACTCTACTTTAAGAAAGGTGATTGTGACTTATGCATTATGTATATTGAATTGCCTTTCTCATCTTTTTGTTAGAGAAGCATGTTGAGGGACCATATTTGATGCATGCGTATATGTATATATATGTGTGTTGCGTATTTGTATCACTATCATGCTAGTTGGAATGCAATGGTGTAGATCTGCTTATTGGGCTTTTAGCTCATTCCATCTTAATCTCATAACTGTAGAGTGAAGGGTGGTGGCAACTGTGCTAAAGGTGGGTGGCAATTCGAAGGCTTGAAGCTGGAACTAAGAAGTTTGAGATGCCATTTTTTGAAGATCTTCACAGAATGTTTTGGTGGTTTCAGCTATATGATGTATACTTTATTTTGTGTATTTTGGGCCAGTAGTGCCTTGAAAAAATTGTAAAGACATTTTGATAATGAATGAAATGGTCGTACCTATTGGATTGATATTTGTTGATGAATAGATATATTGTAGTTTTCTTTCTTGGTTTGCTCTTGATTCTATGTTTTTATGCGTTGAGCCACTTCCACCTGAGTGACATTCGCGACCTCCGATCGCGATCCCGAGCTCTGTCGCCCTCTGGCAGGGGTCAGGGGGTAGTGTCGTGACAGTTATGGTATCAGAGCAGCCAGGATAGGATTCTTGGCCCAGGGAGCCTTAAAAGTGTCTGTAGGGTAGTTTTGATAGGCTAGTAACTGGGTGTTTCTGTTTTAGGTTGGAGATGCCGATGATTCGTACTACCAATGCGAGTTCAAGTAACAGGAACACCAAGGCCTTCGGTGAACTTGCCAGAACTTTAGAGGCCTTGACACAAGTGTTGAGAGAAGCTAGGTTGGACCCTTCTACCCCCACCCCTGATATGAATGATAGTAATCTAATATAATGGTTTAGGAGAATGGCACCTCCAAATTTTGTAGGGCACGGGGGAGTAGAAAAAGCTGAGAGATGAAG